CGATGTTAGGCAGCGGGGAGGGTCCCTCTGGGTCGGATCTCCAGCTGCAGCCCTGCAGCCCCCACGAGACCAGCTCGGCTTGGAGGAGCACCCTGCTGGGTCTCAGGGCCCGGGAAGCAGCTGCCATGCGGGCTGTACGCTCACCGTGCTCTGGGGACTGGACATGAGGAAGTGCTGGGTGACATAGGCCGGCGGGAGGTTGAAGAGGACCCTCTTGTTGTCCAGTTTCACCCTCTCCATGTCGTCCCACTCCTCTCTGCCTGGAGAGGACAGGATCCTCCATTAGCCATTCACCTGCCCATCCAGCTTCCTTCACTCACTGGACAACACGCCACCTGACAAGATTCTCTCCTGGACCAGACTCTGAACTCTCGTCCAACTGGGCCCTGACTTTGGGGCATCCGTCTTCCTTTCCACATTGTCCAGTTTGAGCAAGAACCCTGCTGAGCCAATTTAACCAGACACCCATCCCTGACATCTGATGGGGTTCCTCATCTCCCACCCTCCCCAGGTGATGTCCGATCACCTTGGCCCATCCTCAGCTTGAATCCTGTTAGGTCAGCTTAGAACCCCTCACCCCTGCTGTCTCTCTTAGTAACTGTGCAACCACTGCCCCAGCTCTGCCCTTGGCTGTAAACACCCACTTGCCATTGCTTATTTAGGGCTGAGCCTCGTCTCCCCCCACTGCAAGGCCCCACTGCAGTGGTCCTTACACCTAATACAACGGTCCTGAGTAACGCCTGCCTCACCATCTTTAACAAGAGTTCTGAATCATTACACCTGTAACACGTTTCTTTCTAATTATCCACACTAACTGCCAAATGTACCCACGGTCTACACCAGGCTCATCTCCATGCCCCCACCAGGCAGAGTGAATAGATCAATGGTAGGGCCCAGAGAATCCACAAAATTCTGGATAAATCACCACCCTGATCAGTTGGAACTTTCAAAAGACAACGAGGGTCCAGCCCCCATTTCCAGGGTCTACTGCAGCCACGTTCTGGGGACCAGATGCTGGAAGCAGCCCTTTCTGGGGCACGTGCCCACTCCCAGGGCACACAGGGCCCCCAGCATCTCTGATGCACCTCCAGAGCACAGCCAGGCTCACTGGGAATGCCGGAAGCCAAGCAGTGGCCCCTCCGTTAGCTCCCGTGTCCTCTGGACTCTCTCCCCCTCCAGCAGGACTCCATCTCTCGGGGCACCAAGACAAGCAGAAAGCTGCAGGGGCCTGGAAGGGCAGGAGTGAAGACCTGGGGCCAAAGGAGCGCAGCCAGGCACCGACTCCTGGAGCGGAGGATGAAAGCCGGCAGGTCTAACCAGGCGGATGAGGCAGAGCAGACGGCAGGTGTGGCCTGAGTCCCGGCCGGCTGGCCTCCTGGCTACAGGGCCTGGCAGAGGCTAACGCGACCAACAGTCACGGCCCCACCCACTGGCCGCCGTGTCAGCTCAACAGGCACTGCTGATGAAGCACGGAAGGCAGCCTGGAGCCGGACGCAGCCCTCAGGAATGGGGCCACTGGGCTGGCTGTCAGTGGCCCTCCCTGGCTTCCACATCTAGCACTTGGCTGGAGCCATGAACCGAGTTCAGTATGGAGGACATTCCTAAGTGTGCACCAGCCTTACAGGGACAGCAAGCTCTTGGTTGCAGTGTGATGCCATGTTGATGGCCTGTGACCCTGCCATCAAAACCCACACGAGGCAGCCAGCACAGCCTGGTCTATGTCCCACCTTGTGGCTGTGTACCTGCTCCAGTTTCCGCATCATAAAATGGTGAAAGATGCCCACTAATAGAGGCGCCATTCCTATGTATCAAGGGGTGAGGAGGCTGCGTGAAACCTCCTAAGATGTGAGGAGTGTCACCTATTTTTGATGTCATTATTGTCATAACAGCAGTTGAGCTGGTCGGCTTCATGCTGCTGGAGTTCGTCTCATGATTCTACCAGTTAAGAGCAAGCACCTGAGATCCCCAAAGGTGGACGTGAGGGGGCCTCAGGCCGCAGCTGCCGGGGTGAGAGGGCCTGACTGGGAGCCTCAGGCTCCTCCAGTGCGTTTTTGGGGAAAACAACACAGGTGGGCCAGGGAGTCATCGGTCACCAAGGAGGCTCATACAGGATGACTTTC